TCTATTCCAATTGGTAGTTATCTAAAAGTAATAGTTGTCGTAACACAATAAGTTTATGTGGCTTTATGTTGTGATAATCATTGTTGTTGTAGCTGAAACAGATAACAGGAAACAAAAATGGGTTATGAGAAAGTACACGGAGTATAATAAAATTGAAAATATAGTTCTTGAAACTAGCACAGTTTGAGGTTAAGGTAAAAAAAAAAACGGTTACATCTAGCAATAAAATCAAACATCAACTGGGCTTAGATTCGTGTAAATGTCAGACCAGTTGAACAGATGTACGACAATATGAAGAGAGTAGCATTGTATGGGGTCCTGTTTAGAAATAGACTCAAATACAGCCTAATTGTTTTGTAAAATTCTTGATTATATATAGGAAACTGTGATTTTTTTTTTTTAAATTATCGGTCGACGTCATGCGAAAATTTTTTAATGGAAACGTGGTCTTAAAAAAGAGAGTACTGAGTAAGGACATGAAAATATGGTCTTACAAAAAAGAGTACTCGGTATGAAGAGTGTTTAGCCCTTGATGATTCTCAACCTCATTTGATATTGCTCTTCTGCAGGTTATTGATGATCCCACACGAATATATCGATAACCTGCAAAAAAGCAATATCAAAAAAAGTTGAGTATCATCAAGGGTTCACTTTTGCATTTTATTAAATTAATATTGCTGAAGTAACACTAATTAAAGGCTTGTAATTTACAATATCTTTTTCTGGAAACATTTAATTGCTACTTCTCTCAGTTAAAGCATCAGATATGTAAACTTCTCTACAATATAAAAGTTGTATTAATCTCTGTGTCTGCATCTAGCCTAAGAATGAGCCTTGAATTTTAAAAAAATTGTATTTCATATATAATGCAACTTGTTTTCTTTACATATATAAAAATTTTAATACTATTCAGAAAAAAATGTGAATAAAAATTAGATACATTTTTATGCTCCCTTTTTAAAAAAGATATTTCAATTCCATTGAAGTGACACCAACTTATATATTTATTTAATTTAATTATAAGTTAATATAATTAAATATATAAATTCCTTCCATTATGCTTAATATCCTCCAGGGCCTATAAAGAGCCTTAAACGAACCGAAGAATATATTTGCTACTCTACACTTTCTTGTCAGTTACAAATTCACACCTATTTTGGGAGTCTACTTAAGTGAATATTTAAATAATTTACAAACAAATTAAATACGTTAAATGTCACATCGGTAAATATACAAGCAAAAAAAAAATATATAAATATTTATTAGTTTGTTGTAAGTCGATAAAATATACCATTCATGATGTTTGTAGCACGCAAAACTTTTTTGCATATCCATATCCTTTCGTCAGCCACGCTCGTCCTTATCGTCACTGGCACGGCACGAATGAAGTCGTTGGTTACGTTATTGTGTCAGCATGGAGTGACACATAAAGCCTATGAATAATTTCGCTTGCCGCATCATTTGCATTTTATCGCATGTTGATTAAGCAATTTACACCGTGTTTATGTGTAACAAATTAGGAACTCAGCTTGGTCTAGCAGACATTTTAAGTGAAAAAATTCTTAGATACAAGATACTAAAATGATACGCCACATAATACATAATATTTACATAAAATGTGGTTGCGTCATATAACAAGTGAACGATTTGAACATTTCACTGGTATAAAATATTTTATATCTATAGATATATAGTACTTAATTTAATTGTTTACTTAGAAATGTAATTAATTTTAATATATTAACATTTGTTTGATATTTATTATTATTAAATAATAAGCTATGAATGCACCCCAATCTAAAAGATCTATTGTGCGCCTAAAGGCCCAACTAAAACAATTATAGACTATTTATAAATCTCGTAATTGCTGTGGGCTTAATTTTACCTCTTTAATTTGGGACCAAGATCCCGCTTCCAAGGTTAGGTAGTCGGGTCTACGTTACATAGGATATGTTCTGATGTTTCCTACTCCTCACGACAGAGTCAACAGGAGTCACTTTCTATCGCACCTATAATCTTCATGTAGTAATCAAGTCCATAGTGTCCTCTACGAAGTTCAGTGTTTGATATAATTGAATAAATGATATAAAATTTTTATTAGACATATTCCTTAGGATGTTATGCTATGCATGTTGTCTGGGTCAGGATTTCTCATACCCTGATTCACTGATCACTACCGATATGTAAAGTATTCTAGTATTGTCAAATACCCATCATCAGTGGTTTTATGGAATTATTCTTATTCAAGTAAACTTTTTTTAGGGTTTTTTGAAACTGCAGGTACCAAAAATATAATATTTTATTATATTATAATGATATAAAAAATAGTTTTGTTGTTGTAGTTCACTACTTTTTGAAACCTCTCTATTAAATATCAAATTAAAATCAAATTTAATATTTAATAAATTATTTTAATAGTACCGAAATATTTTTATTATATTCTTCAATACTAATATTAAATTATAAATTCTTATTTATCTAAGATCGATCATAGATGAATAAGATTTATATAAAATGTAATCATTTATTAAATTAATTAGTTCATTAATTAATAATTTTATAAATTTCATAAAAAAAAGTAAATGCTGTTTATGTAAAAAATACGTACAAATAGTAGTTAATTATATTAATTACATATATCTTGAAACACAATCTTATATCTTGAAATTATCCTTAAAAAAGTAGATATTATTATTTTACCCAACATTTAGAATTTTATAGGATGACTTATAACTTCTTTAAAATTAATATGCCTTTTTTGTAATGTAATAAATCTTTGACTTTCATATAACATATGTTTCAATTTGGAAAATTATCATATTATTGGAAAATCTCTTTCCCTGAACTATTTTTTTCGATCTACAAACTGCTATTAGTCGCAGATCCAATTGAACACAATTAATGGAATTCGTCTAATTTTGCCATTTGTGTGTCCAATATTAACAGTTCACATAGTGCATTGTTCGGTAAACGAGCCTTTTTTTTCTTCTTCTAGGTCTTTTTTTAGAGTTGTCGGCACTGTTCAAGTTTTTTTAAGAATCACATGGGTTTGCCAATACTGACGCCATTTATATATAATACTATTTACTAACTTAATGAGAATCAGTACAATGGCCACTGACAATATATTACTATTATGGGTCTTTCATATCCACTACATGAATTTATCATTTTTAAGTAAATTATTGATGTATTATTGTACCATTTATATTACGACAAGTGGATTATGCACTAGAATAAATAATCAAATTATATGTCTTTTTCCGTATGCACACACGAAACAACGTCAATGTCTTATAGAGAGTGTTACTTCACTGGTCTAATAGCGATAATAAAAATAAAATTCGATCTTTTCCATTTGATCTAGAAGATCATTTAATTTAAAAAATACAATAGTGGAACATTACTTGGCCTCTCCTAGGTAGCATTGTTAAGAGCATTATTAATGACAATAGATATCACTAAGCTCCGATAATTATATTAACGAACGTTTTCTGAACCTAACTTTGCATCGATTACAGTTTTTCTTTTTATATTATATATTTTATGTAAGGGCTTATATCCCTTATTAATCAGAAATCGAAACCTGAGGAGTCCACATGTAACCAAACTAGCCTGCCAGCTGTTAGAATTAAATAAAACAGCCTGACATAAGATCGTACCTCTTCAATCGTAAGAAGGCGTGAAGTATGGTCTTAAGGTGTTTACTTAGGTTGTGAAGTATACTCACATAATCTAACTTTTTTTTGTAATTAACCTAGTAAGTTACTGAGATATTCCCTACTCTTTTTATAAGGAAATATGTTTACTATATATGATTTCGAACTTAAAGCAGACAACTCAAAGTAATATGTATTCGACAACTTATTATTAAATAAATTTCAAATAATAAAATTAATTCAAACAAAACTATTAAGTGTATTTAGAGAATAATTTAATATAATGTATATTTGTTTGTATATAAGACTCATAAATTCATTAAATTATTCATTGCACTTATGCTCCTATAAACTGAGCAATCAAAACAAAAGTCATATTCACCCTAAGCAAGGTTAAATGTATCATTGCCTTTTATTACATTTTATAAATTCATATGCCGAACAAAATAATCCATAACACAGCCAGGACAATGAAGTGAGTGCATTTGTGGAATAGGAATAGGAACTGCTTAGGTTCGCTTCTAAATTTAGCAAATGATGTCAGACAATGTCTGTGTTTGTCATATTGCCTAAACTTGAATACTACCGCACAGCGGCTAGTAGATACTGCATGCAAAATCAATGAATTCAAGAAATAAATAAAATTTAACATCTACGCGTTTCAGTAATAAAAAATAATACGAAAATTTCAGATAGCGCCTAAAATATTAATATTCCATATACGAACGATAGCTTAAAATGTCAAATGCCAACCTGACGTCAACACCGCATTATTGTAATTCTTAGAAATTTTATCCATATTTACAATGAAATGAATTCCATGAGTTGCGCCTGTAACCTTGTGCCGCCAAACCAAACCAAAACAAATCAGGCTAAGCCAAACCAAAGTAAAGCACTGGTTTACAAATTATGCGATGGAGACCTGGTTGGGTTGGCATGGTGCGGTTAGCTTAGCAGCTTGGCGTTGTTTACTTCCGTCGCCTTTAATTAGATTTTTTAGTACGAGTATAGGAACACAACGATTAACTTAAGTAAAATAATTTTGTGTCATTATTTCAATATTGTGAAAAATGTGAGACATTCTATACTAATGCACATAATACGGGAAGAATAAAGTCAGCTTATTAATAAAAGCTGTAAAGACTAATAAGGACTTACGCTGTAATATATTCACGACATAAAAGTAGCATAAAAGTAGCGAAAATTGTATAATTAGATAGGTGGTACAAATCTAATCACTTATTAAAATATTTTTAACTACTAATAATTTTATTAACAAATATGCCTTGCCAAACTTTGTTTAAATTTCTAATCAATTATAAATATTTTTTTTTATTTTAGGGAAATATGAAGGGCAAGCATCTGACACGTAGCCATGCAATGCGTGAATCTACCTCTCCACCACGTACACCAACACCACGAGCCGATCATAGCAACTCCTCAACAAATAGTCAAACATCAAACTATCAGCATCATCAAGCCGATATCAATGAAAACATTAACTCAAACGGCAATAATAATAAACTGCATGCACAATCAGGACAGCAAAGAGGCAATTCTCCAATAATGGAGGCACCAGCAGTGATTATCACTAATCAACAGCAACAAAATGTCGCACTTACCAACGAAGCGGAATTTCCTAAATTATCTCCACCTAAATCAAAAGGTGGCAATGGTAATACCGCCGGTATTCAGAAGAATAACAATAATGGTAACAATACCAGCGGTAGCAACAGCAGCAATAATAGCTCTAATGGTACAACCGAAACCAACAATAAAATTGAGTACATCAACAACAATAGTAATAGCAATACCAATACCAATAACAGTAATGGTAATGGCAATGGTAATGGTAACAGCAATGGAAACGGAAAGAAACTAGTTGTTGATTTAAAAACCACTACAAACAACAATGGAGACGATTCGCACAAGAACAATAACAATAACAATAATAATAGCGGCATTAACTGCATTAATAATAACAATAATAAAGCTCACCAACAATCGTATAACAACAGCAGCACCAATGCATTGCAGCAAGCATTAAATGTTGGCAGTGATTATGACACACGCAATCAACAAACATCAACAGCAGCTACTTGCACGTCATCAACAACCACAACAATATATAATTCTGGCATGAATTATCAATTGAATCCAACTGATGTGAACAATTCAGTTACATCCCAAAATCAACAGCAAAATGCTTATGAAAAGGACAACAATCGTTCTCCACGTAATGACAGTCAGAACAGCAACATTTCAAACTCCCACGACGATGAGCAACACTATGAACGCGGTGGTGGAGGCGGAGGCGGTGGTAACAAAAAGCATCGCACCAATTCGAATTCAAAGGGTACTAAGCCACGTTTGAAGAATATGGGTTCATCTGGAAGCGTTGAAGGTAACACAAACAGCAACAATACTTCAGGATTTATATCAAGAGGTGCGTCCTGTAAATGGGTTTTATTAATTTAATCTATTCATTATTTTAGTTTTCAACAACTCAGAAAATTCTGGAGATCAATTCACCGATTATGGTGGTACTGATTTGTTTAGCTTTTTTAAAGAAACTCTTAATAAGAATCTTAAGGATCGGCATATATTGTTAAAAATCGAAAAGGATCTCATCGATTTTGTACAGGATAAAAGGTAAGGACAGGATAAGTGTGTGTGAGAGTTTTAATTTATGTTTAAATTTTAGAAAAGTTGAATAAGAATGTCTCTCAATTTTAAATAGATGTATATATAATTCTCATCTACTTTGTTTTTAATGAGTTTATATAAATTGTTTGATTTTATGTACAAACCTTGAAAATCGAATCTTTGCTTTGGAATGCAAAAAGCATTTCCTTCTCCCTAAAAAACAAAAAAAACAAAGTTAATTGGTAAAAAAAGGTTGATGTAAATAGAAAATAAAAGCTTATACATATATAGATTTTCTGCAACACATCAACAATTATAATCAGAATCAGTTTCTTCAGTAGTAAAATGCTGTTATTTTAGATTTTAGAACAGAATGATTTATCTTCAGTCTTAAATTAGATAGATATTATGATCAAATAAAATACATTTTTCTGACTCATTATTTTAAATGTCGGTTAGTAGTCTCAGGCGTAAATGAGAACAATATTTTAAGTAATGAATTATACTTGGCTATCCTACAAACATGAAATGACATGATATCTTAGTGAAATGGTGCTTTTTTCTTTATCATTTTTATATGATTTCTTCAAATATTCCGATGATACAATATAATATTTGTTGTTTGCTTATATTCGTTTATCAAACTGATCCATGATCCGTATCATAGCATAAATGTCTTAATATATGGAGATAATGACTAGTGGCCGGTATTATAAAATTTTATTATGGATCGTTGGAAAATTGCCACATTTTAATAATTGTATCTTATTCTGTAAGCTTATTCTGTACTTCATAGTGAAGGCGATAGGAATCAACTAATAATAATAATAGTTTGAAAATAATATTCCTATATATTTTTATATATGTAAATTTTTCTCTTCCTATTTATTTTCATCCACCTACTCCTCCTCCTACTCCAGAAATAATTTGTTTATAAGTCTGCTCAGTCTACTGTGTTAGTTTTTTACTTATGTTGATGTAGTAAAGCAGCAAATATTGGGATTAATATTGGAATTAAGGGTTCGCAAGTAAAGAGAAAATTATATTAAAATATAGAGTTATTAAGTATAATTATAAAATGTTATCTATACAAAATAATATGCATTTTAAAAGATATTTAAAGGCTATATTTGATTAAACTAATTTGTAATTACCTTTAATTTCATTAATAGCCGCAATGAAATGCGTTTTCCTTCGGCTTCTTCCTACAATCGCATGCTGATACATCGTACTGCAGCTTATTTTGGATTAGAGCACAATGTGGATGCCGATACACAACAATGTGTGATTGTGGCTACAACGAAAAATACTCGTATACCAGAAGTAAGTTTACAAAAATTTCCTATAAAATAATTAAGTTATTATAGTTTATTCAAAATTGTTTAACTTAAAAAATTAAATGATCATAATTTACAGACTACAGTAAAAAATATAGCCAGTGACTTAATTTAATTTAATTAATCTGATCAATTTATATATGATATCAATATGTTATAGGTATTTTAGTTATTTAATAATAATTATATCATCGATATAAATATATGTATTTCACATTCTAAACTAATTAAGTCTAAAATTCAAGACGTTTTTAGAGTAGCAAATATTATTAAATAAGTCGGTATTTACGGTTACAAGTGAATACTGCATTTGTAATTTTTTAAATATGTATGTATCGTTAATATGTACACGTCTCAAAGTAACCTTAACTTTTTTAATAGACAGATATACCATATATTTATATCGATAAATAAATCAATATATACATATATGAATAGATACATCAATATATAGATATATCAAGAGATAGATAAATCAATAATTAAATTTATCAATAGATATATCAATAGATTAATATATCAATAGATAGATATATCCATTGATAAATATATCAATAGACAATAGATAGATACATCAATAGATAGACATATCAATAGACAGATATATCAATAGATAGATATATCAAGGATAAATAAATCAATAGATAAATATCTCGCTGGATAGATACATCAATAGATAGATATTTCAATAGACAGCTATATCAATAGATAGATATATCAAGGATAAATAAATCAATAGATAAATATCTCGTTGGATAGATACATCAATACATACATCAATATCAATAGATAGATAAGTGAATAAATATATATGTCAATAAATAGATATAGTAATAGAAAGACATATCAATACACATATATCAAAGGATAAATAAATCAATTGATAGATATATAAAGAGAGATATATAAAAAGAGATATATCGATAAATATATCGATATATATCGATAGATATATTTTGAAGATAGATATATCGATAGATACAATACTACAATAAATAAGTAGTTTCCTTTTGACTCAAATAACTAAGAGTCAAAGAATTAAGCGTCTTAGATAGTTTTCTTTCAAGATAATCAAAATCGGTTTCTTCAGTAGTAAAACGTCTTTCAAGTAGATTTCATTTAGCGTCAAATGCGTTTTTCGAAATGCTAAAAATTGCACGACGCCAATTCCGACGCCAATGAATACGGAATAACCACCGGAGTAACAGGCGGTTGAAGTTCCGTTTGCATATAATTGCCAATATTGTTTTTATTGTTATAATCTGGATTGGGTGTTGTGATAATCATGTGGTCGTCTAGAAAGCCAAGTGGCTGCAGATCGCTAGTGGAACTAATAATGACCGGGTTTCAATAGATGACTTCATTGCAAATACCTGTTTTTAGTCAGTGACATTTACTTCTTATAATAATTGATTTTAACATATATTAACAAATTTATTACAAACGAATAAAAAAAAATTTAACGTTTTAAATTCCAGATACGCTTTAAATCGCTTGTTAGTGAAATTCGTAATGAATCGCGCAAATCTATTCTAAAACGTGATACGCACAGCTTTGATGAGGCGCGCCAAAGCAGTTATTTGTGTCCTGATCGCGGTGTGCTTGATCGTAAAGCCAAAAGCTTTGAGGAACGTGAAGAGGACTATGAAAGAGCGCGCAGTAGAATTTTTAACAGAAGTACCAATGATAATAGTGAAGATGGTGATGATTATATAAATATGGGTTGGACAAGTATTGCTGATCCGCAACCTAATCGCAATAGACCAAATGGCAAAATGTTAAAAATGCATCCTGTAATATAAATAAAAAAAAATTATTAGAAATTTTTTTATATTAATATTTATTTTTTTATTTACAGCCAAATGAAGCACGTGGTGATGGTCGTTCTGCTGGTGCTGTGCCAAAAGCACATAGCTTTGGCGGTTATGGTGGCTTAGCGTGTAATAATAATGCATCCGTTTTACGTGGCGATTCAATTAATTCAAATAAAGTTAGTGGTAGTGGGCGTGTTTTTAATAAACAAGATTCTGCCGGCAGTGCTAATACACCTTGGCGTTTATCACCATCAAGTAGCGGGTGAGTAACGCACGTTAGACATTTGATTAGTATAAAATTTTTACCCAACTATGTTAATAAATTGAACGAAATTTGTAAAGTTGGTATTTACTGACATAAATATATTTAGTAAAAATTTATAGAAAGCATATAAATAAGTTAAAATATTTAGATATAAAACCCAAACACAATCGGTGCATTCGGAATCCGTAACGAGTACACCATCACCGACGGGTTGTAGTAGTGAAGAACACACTTCGCCAGATAATTCGGTAATTGTATGTCAAGCAACGCAGCTTTCAACTGCAACACTAACAGCAGCTGCCGGATGCACCAATGCGGGCGCATCATTACCATGCGGACTTGTTTGGGCCGTCACTGACATAGCCAACGTGCCTAAGGGCAGCGTTCTTATCAATCCTCAAACATTGCAACCAATTGTTAACCAAGACGGGTAATTTACAAAACGATGCAAAATTTTGTTTTGATTGTGCCAAATTTTTAAATGAAAATCACTAATTTCTTTTAACAAAAAAACAATAACGAAACTTCAATTATATTTTATTTCTGTTAACAAAAGTTTGCAAGGCGTTTTTCGAAATTAAAATGCAATAGAAACATAATTATTTTCGAACTCAAATTTTCCTTCAAATTTTAATTTATTTTCCACATAATATTACTTATACTGTTTTCGAATTATTTGCTCACACTAAAACACTTTCTTTGGCATTATTGTTTTATATTGTGTTTTTGTTTTAAATATTAAATTTCTATAATAATATGGCATAATATAATATAAGAGAAAAAAATAATATATAAAGCAATTTTAACTCGCTTAGCTTTATGCTGCTGCTATCTGCTATTAAACATTTTTGTTTATTTTTCTTAATTTAAATTTTTTTAATCAATGTTAAAAACATAAAAACATAAAAACATTTTGCAAACTAATAACAAATAATTAAACATAAAAATTTTGAAAAAACAAAAAAATATAAAATACAAAATATTTATTCAAAAAAGTTTTCGTAAATTATCTGCCAAGCAAATCTTAACGAAATATACAATAACAATTTATAACAATTTATGCTACGCTTATTCACATATTCGCACACAAATATTCCTCATGTCAGCTATTTTTGTTTACTCATATGTGTATTGTATTTATATATATGATAATGATTACAAACAATATTATAAACTAAAAATATTTCTTCTTATACTATATAGCAAAGTATTTGATTGGTTATAGTTGCATAGTTTATATTTACTTCCTTTGCATTCTTGTTCAAATTTTAAATGTTTACCAATTGTTTTTTGAATTTTTTGAATTTACATTGAAAATATGTTCAAGGGATTAAGTGTTTATCTAAAATATTTTTGCGTTTAAAGTTTTGTTTTTTTTTTGTTTAAAAAATATTTCATAAAATATTTTTGGTTATTTAAAATAGCAATACAATATACGATGAATTTAATTATATAATAATTATCACATTTGAACGAAAAATTTTGCAACCATTTAAGCAAAACAATTAAAAAATATATATATGAACTTATAAAATTAAATTAAAATCATTTATATATAAGTACATTTTATATATCATAATTATTTTTCTGAATTTGAACTGTTCTTTTCTGTTCATTCAAAGCTGCCATTATATATACAAATTATTGTTGTATTTTGTACGTTCACTGTCGTCTTATTTATAATTTTATATACACAAAAAACTTAGTTATCTATATGCAATTTCCTTTGTTGATATACACTTGAATACTCTTCTTATTTTTAACACAGTTCATTAATATATTTAGTACAAGCAAGTCATTTAAATGTACAAATTTGTCTTACATTTTTAGTTCAATTTATCACTTTGATCCGTCCAACTTGCCTCCTGGTCAAACAATTACAACAGGTTATCACGCTGGTGGAAATTCAACAGGGAATTACATGCCATCACCAATAAATGTAAAAAAGAACAAGTCACACATTTCACAACATCCGCATCATCAAACTAAGAATACATCAAATAATGAAACAGGAGCTTCTTCAGTTGATGATACATCTGAATCTTCAACTCAAACCTTAACATACAGTGCTGAAACAGCTGCAGAGCCAAAAGCTAAAACCGCTAATTTGGCAACTGGAAAGGAAGGTAAAATATAAACAATATTTCTAGTAATATATAGGGTATTCATAAGGTAGTTACGTGTATAAGACAAGCCTACAAAAGTTTTCGTAGCAATTAGAAAGAAAAACAACTTGTGGAAACTATTAAAACTTGTTTAACTTTATTAATCAATTAAGTCAAAATCATCAGAGCATGTTCTACGCAACTGCAGTGGCAAAACGTAGACTCTATTACCTTGGAAGCGGGATCTTACTCCCAAATCAAATAAGTAAAATTAAGCCCACAGCAATTACAAGATTTATAAATAGTCTAAAATTGTCCTAGTTGGGCCTTTAGGCGCACAATAGATCTTTTAGGTCGGGGTGCTTTAATAGCCTATTACTTATAATATAATATAAATCAAAATCAGTATTTAGTCACAGACGTGTTAAACCCGTTTAGCTTCGTGAAGTTTAAATGCTTAAACTTTTTGTTAAACATATTCAAGTGCATAAAGCTATTGTTACACATATTGAAGTGCTTAACCCTGTTTTGTTTAAACATGTTGAATTGCTTAAAACTATTTTTAAATATGTTTAAGTGCTTTAACCTGTTGTTAAACATGTTTAGCTGCTTAACAACCAGTTGGTAAACATATTTAAGTCTACCGTTGTTAAACATGTTTATTGTGCTTAAACGTGTTATTGAACATGTTTAAGTGTCTAAAACTAAAATGTCATTTAACGTGTTTAGGTACTTAAAGCTGTTGTTAAACATGTTTAAGTAATTAAACCCGTTATTCAACATATACAACATGATACAATAGATATATTCATATCAATATGAAGAAATTATTTAGAAGAAATAAGAAATGTAAATAAAATGAGTGCTTAAATTAATTAGAGATACGTATAGAGATGTAAGCAAGTGGATAGGTGATGATAGTGTGCGAGGAAAGATGTACCACTAAGCAAAAATTATTAATTATACATAGTGCTAACATTGGCAAGGGGTTTAGCAGACCTTATGAATATTCTAATTATATCTATAATATAAAATTTTATTTAAACTTCACTTAAACTTTATATAATTTATTTATAGAAGATCAGAGTGGTGCCGATGAATGCGATAATTTGCAGAGTGGCTGTTTGAGCATAACAACATCTACATCCACTAAAAATTACGACCGCATTGAGGTGCAGAAGTTTAAGAATCAAGCTACTAGTCCAAATATTCCAACAGAGAAAGATGAAGGGCAAAAACGCGAAGTATATTTATAATTAAAAAAATCTAATAAATAAATAAATTATATATTTTCTTAAAGAATTCGTCAGCTTCATCGGAAAGTTCAAATCAATGTGATCAACCTACTACACGTCAGCCGCAAACGATATCACAGTCATCTACAGTTACATCACAGGCACCAAATCGCGAAACACCACACTCATCTCGTTCAACACCATTTAGCAATAGTGATTTGAATGCAAAACGCGCTTCTGAGGAACCGAAAGCAACCACTTGGACTTATACACAAAGTTATCAGGCGCCAGATGGTTCAACAGTTTTCCACACAACAACAACGCCAAATGGCAGTCCATATTGTGGTACAACATATCAACAAGGGGTATATTAGTTATTTAAAAAATAAAAAAATCTTTTATATAAACGATTTTGTTTTTTAGCCTGATGGCAGTGTTTACGCCATACCTCAAGGCATGGTTTATGCTTATCCCCCTCCAGTTGTGAGTAAACAAATTTGTTTTAGTATCTTGTTGTTATTTGTAAAATGTATATATCTGTATATATGTTTGTGCATTAATATAATTCAATTTGTCAAATGCTTGTGGTATATTTTTTATTATTATATATTGTATATATATGTATTTAATTAATAATTTTTAATAAAAAAACTTAAATTTCATAATTTATAATTTTAGGAAGGAGAAGTGCAGGGATATTTCATGCCAGTTTTTGACCCAACTCAACAACGGCCTGAGTCAGCTAGCATAATACCAGCTGCCCAAGCCATATATCCAGCTGCTGGTAGCACTGCTACTATGGTTCCTGTAGCTGCTGCGTATACGTCTCAGTTTGCTGCCACAAATGGTGCTCCAATTTATCCATTATACCCTAGTGAGCAATTCGCAGCAAGTGGTGCAACTGTCGCAGCAGCCACACCCGCAAATGGACAAATACAACAAATTCCAATGGCCACTTATCCGATCAGTGGATATCCGTATGCCTATAATGGTAAATAATTTTGAAATATTTTTCGTAAAAATAAAATTGTAATGAATAAAAAAAAGTAATGTGAATAAAAAATAAAAGCTTAGGAATTAGTTTTTATTATTATACAGTAGTTCATATAAATACCACTTATGTGGTATTCACGTCTGTGAAAGTAAACTCACAACTACTCCAAAATAAATTATAATGGTTTGCTATTCCAATTTTAGGTTATTGGGGTCAAACAATGACATATTATGTACCTCAGCAGGCTCTAGCAAATGCAGTTGCTGCCACACCTATATTATCGGCACCACCACCACCACCACCTCCACCTCCTGCAACTGTGCCTGGTGCACATGTTAGCAATATAACTGCAGCAACGCCGGCTGGTCCGTCGTCAAATGCTACCTCTATGCATAATAGTGGAAATGGCAATAGCGGAGGTGGTAGCAATATAGTTGCAACTACAAGTGGCAATTATCATACACACAGTGGTACGACATATTTTGGTACCGGACGTATTAAACGACCAACACCAGCACATCACTATAATGGACCACAAAGTAGTGGTCACCAGTTAATGGCAACTATTCCTAGTGCTGGCGGCGCTACAGCTACATATCAATTGGGACATGCTGTGCCAACACTAACGCTGGCCAATCCAGCTGCTACTGCAAATGATCTCAGCGCTCCAGGAGCAGCGCCAACTGCAACCATGTACGCTTTACCACAACACGCAGCCTTGTTCCCTGCCAATGTGTTCCCATACACAGCTGCAGCTGGTCCAGCCGCTGTGCATACACCACATACTGCAACGGGTACAGCCGCAACAGGTACTACTCATGCACAACAATCTAATGCTGTGATCACACCTATTTATGCTCATCCACCGCCTCAACTGCATGCACACGGTCACGTGCCTGGGCCAGCTGCTATACCAATTGTAGATCCAGTAACTCTCGAACACATTACTGGCACTGTACAAGTCGCCAACAGCAGCAATGGCGGTGCTGCTTCTTTTACAAGCAGCAGTAATAACTCACAATCTGCGCCAAGCACACCTCATTCACTTTCATCTCAACAACTACAGCGCAACCCGCCGCTCTTTTCAACGCCTCCAACAGCTGCTACTGGTAATGGAAATTACAGCAGTGCTAGTTCTACACCACATTATTATACAACTGTTAATTCTGATCAAAACAGTATCATTGCCTCAAATAGTCCACATAATGCTTATAATTCATCATATGAAAAACGCACAAGTAATATTGTCATCACGGGAAATAAGAAACCACCATCCTTTGCTAGCGGAAATAATGTCAATCGTCAAAATATAACCAACTCCATAACCTACAATAATGGTTCTACGAGTAACAAACCTGCATTGATTGCAATTAACAACGATACTCGTGGTTCACCAAATAATTCCAATAGTGGTTATCAAGGTACACGACCTCATATTATAAATAAACGGGGGGATAAACAACAGACACCACTTCTAAGTGGTCCTCCTAGTTATACTGGTAACACTATTAGTACTCATCATACCATGTCGTCAGATGCTACAACTGGCAAACCACCAATAAGATTAAATGCTGCCGCTGCTAGTTTCAGACATAAATCCAATAACTCGATCGAATATAGACGAAGTGTGTCGCAACGTAATTCACCCGGAACAAATTCCAGCAGCAACGAAAATAGCAACAACAATTCACCAAATAGCATTTCTGCCGCATCTACTACACCAATTACTAATTGCTTCGTGCCCACTTACATAGGAAACAATAGTAACAGTGCTGGTATGCATGCAGATCAACCACAAACAACTCCTACAGCTTCATTGTATATAGCTGCTCGTGGCACGAATCACATTCCGCCTCCTCTACCGCATGGTGGCACAGTTGTTGCCACCACTAGCGGTGCAGCAACTGTGTTAGGTGGTGCAATGGCACATCACCAACCGTTGCTAGGTACCTACAATCCAAATGCTGGATCAGGAATGTACGTTAAGTACGGACAAACTATTTTTGCACACGTAAGTTAAAATACAAGCATAACTGAAATAGAACAAAATAGTTTATTTACCTTTAATGTTCAGCCATCCGTAACGCTGCAAAATAGTCGCCGATCTCCATCAACCGATCTAAGGCCCCCAATGGCTCAAATGACTGGAATGTATCCGACTGTAAATATGATGATACCAGGTTAATATAGAATTCTTAAATGTAATTTAAAGCATACATTAAAGCTTATTATTTCTGTAGCACATCCACGTCATGCGCCAAGTAGACATCCAAATCCCAACTACAAAGGGACGCGGCCACGTTAAGCAACATTCAAAACAATGATGCTATACTAAAATCTAAATAAAAAATTAATTTAATATATTTACTAGTAACAGCATATAAAGCGTAGATAACAATAATTTTAAATCGCATAAGAAAACAATTCTAAGCTAAAAGGTAAAATATTACAAAAATTTATTAAAAATAATATTTTCCGGGCCATTTTACAAAGAGACAAAAAGATGAAAGTGACAAAATTATATTAATATTAGTAAACATAGAAATTTAACGACATAAACAAAAACAGGATCCACAACAGACAACTGAAAAGACATACAAAGATATATGTATGAGAAAAATAAAACAGAGAAACCACTTCTATCTTTTGTTATAACTAAAATGTATATAAACGTTTTAATTCTTCCACTTGACAATTAGGTCAGAAAAGAAAGTAAATATGTCTGTGCCATAAAAAAAACAAATAACAAACAACAAAAAACAAAACAATTAACAATAGTCAATACTTATAAACTCCTTCTGAGTTAACTTTAAAAGACACCAATAGTACATGATTAGCACATACAGTTTGTCGTTCTAAAAATATAAATATATATATTTCTTTATATATAAATATAATATATATGTATATTTACTACTATTATTCGCTAATTTATAGATATATACATACATATAATTTTATAGTATTTAAAGTGAAGTACTCTTAAGAAATCGTAATTTTATGATGTATCAAACCAAAACTAGATTTAGCATGAAACATCTCAAGAATTCATTACTAAATTATAAAAAAAAAATTTATTTTGACGCTTAACTAGTCAGTCATTTTTTGAACTATATGCAAACTTCATCCCCATCTATCTATCCTCTTATATATATTATAATTTAATTTTTTCAAAAACTACAGCATTTTCAATTTTATTAATAAAATAATATTATAATTTTTGATTATCTTAAATATTTGATTTAATTTGCAAATAATTGAATTTGACTTTATCTACAAAACAAATATATTTTTATGTTTATGTTTATATAAATTATATGAAAGGACCAAACCATACTATTTGTTATCTAAATATATAAATTAATTTAAAATTTTGTTATTTGCATATAGTTCTATTATAATTTTGTTACGCGCATATATTTTTTTATTAGATATATATTTAAGTTATCGAAAAAATTTGAAATGTTAAAGATTTTGTTTTTTTTTATCATAATATTTGATTTTCATTAAATAAAACTTACTGAATTGTTTCTTTTATTGATTTGTCATCATTTGTTTTAAGTCACTTATACTTTTAAATTTATTATATTAAACAGTTATATTAATGTTTAAGAAGCAGCTCATAACTATATTATGTTATATAGTTTGATATTCGAAACTATGAAGAAATTTATTTAAATAAAACAAAAATTATATACTTAAATTTAAATAAAATTATTCAATCACAAATTTGTTTAAACAATTAAATATTTCAGACAACATCAATTTTATAAAAATAATAAAATAAGACATTATCTTTTATATATCATTTTTGGTATATTTTTTTTTTGATTATGATAGTTGCAAAATAAATACCTAATTATTATTTCGACCTATATTTCAATAGAATTAAATTTAACGGACCTTAAACCCGCTTAAGTAAAATTCTATATTAACAAATAACTTTAAAAATGATAATGAAAATGAATAAAATAAAATAAAAGAAAAATTAAAATAACATAATATAATAATCCAAAATGAAATAAATCAATAAAAATAAAAAATATGAAAGATTTACATAAAATAATACATAAAAAGTTCTCAAAAATATATAATATAATATAAGATAATACAATATAATGTAATATAATATAATAAAATACAATACAATTATGTAATATAATATAATGAAATATAATATAATGAAATATAATATAATATAATATAATGAAGTATCAAATTATATAATATAATGAAATAAATTATTTTATTATAATATATTTTTTTTAATACAATGAAATATAACATAATATAATAAAACATATTTTGGAATATAGCAAAATATAATATAATATTTAATAAATTATATAGTTAATATATTTTATTTTATATATTATAATATAATATATAAATTACATATTATATTATATATATTTATATATTATATATCTATATATATTATATATCTATATATATTATATATCTATATATATTATATATCTATATATATTATATATCTATATATATATATATATATATATTATATATTATATATATATATATATTATATTATATATATATTATATATATATATATATTATATATTATTTCTTATATATATTATATATTATATTATTATATATTATTTATATATATATATATATATATATATATATTATATTATATATTAATATATATATATATATATATATAATATATAATATATAGTATATATATATTATATATATATATATATAATATATATACATATATATAATATATATATAATATATATATATTATATTTATATTTTATATATATATATTATATATGTATATTATAAATCATTATAATAATTTAATTTTTAAAATTTGGAATTTTAATAATATAAAGTAAAGAAATGATAATTAAAAAAATATTTATATAATAGGAAGATTTTAGAAATACATCTGCATATACTATATATAACATATATATAAATCAAATGCCAGTATGCAAGAAATAGGAGTGATATAAAGTTATCTATATTATTTTCAATGAGTTATAATACTTATGGTATGATACTTTTATATATATAAAAGTAATCATAAAAAAATTGCAAATAAAAATGTATAAATAAAAAAATAAATCCTTTTAACAATATAACAATGAAGTTTAAAAAAAAAATTTTGTTTTATTTAAGTAAATACTGTTTATGGTATTCGAATAATGTCATTTTCTGATTTTCTGTTTAAAATATGTTCACAATATTTTTTGTAATTTATTTTTTTTATAGATTTTTTTATGTAAGATATTTTTGGTACGTTATTGTATTTATTTTTTATGTAAGATATTTTTAGTACGTTATTGTATTTATTTTTTTGATTTTGTAATTATTTAATTTGTTTTGCAGTTACCAATTTTTTTGGTATTTATTTATTAATTTTTCTGTTTATTTTTATGTTTTTTAATTTTTGTGTTTATTTTTTTTTTTTTTAATTTTTGTGTTTATTTTTATTTTTTTTAATTTCTGTGTTTATTTTTTTTTGTTTAATTTTTGTGTTTATTTTTTTTTTTAATTTTTTTTGTATTTAGTATTTATTTTTTGTTTTTTTTTAAATTTTTTTTGTATTTTGTATTTATATTTTGTTTTTTTTTTAATTTTTTATGTATTTATTTTTTTAAATTTTTTTGTACTTTGTATTTAATTTTTTTTTTTGCATTTATTATATTTTTTTTTGGATTTTGTATTTATTTATATTTTATATTTTTTTGTTACTTGTGTGTTTTTCTGTCGTTTTTGTTTATTTATTTTTTTTGTATTTATATATTTTTTATGCATTTATTTTTTGCCTTTTTATTTAATTTTTTTTGTATTTTGTATATATATATTTTGTGTTGAATTTTTTTATATTTTATTATTTAATTTTGCGTCCTTTTATTTATTTTTTGTGTTTTGTGTATATTCACATTTTTTGAATTTATTATTTTGTTTTTGGTTCTTTTGTTTTTGGATTTTTTTCTTTTTTATTTTATTAATATTTTTGTGTTCTAATCTTTAAAATTTTTTTGTTTTGTGTTTTTTTTGTATTTTTTTATTATGTTTCTAATTTGTTACATTTTATACATTTATGTATGTATATATTTAGTTTTTTCTTTTCATCTATACATATGTAATTTGTTTTTTTTTTTTTGATATTTGTATAATTTCTTATATATTTGTAGTTTTTTTTTTGTATATTTATTTTTAGTTGCTACTTCTTTTATATTTTTTTTCTAATCCTCGTACTTTTTTGTCTAAATTAGAAATTCACGTTTTCACCTAAATAGGAATTATTATTTCTGTTTTACTAAAATATATATTCATTATACATTTTTTTCAAAAGCGTCAAATTTTGTACATTATGTATTACTCATTTTTAAAGACAATATTGATAACAAAGAAAAATATTATTTTTTTAAAAAAAATTCCATTATTCATTTATTTAATTCTTATAAAAGCTTTGAATTTTATTTTGCATTTGAATTTAATACTTTTGAAATAAGATGAATGTTCTTAATGCAATTAATTAGCTTTTTCACGTCATATCATATGTTTTGTTCATATTTTTAAATAATTCAATTTAGTAGGTTTGGTTGTATTTTTTTAATTATTTTGTATTTCAATTATTTCACATTAATATTTTTTGATCTGTTATAATCAATATTGTCTTTACTATACACCAAACAAACAATCAATCAAATGACATTAACGAAAGCAATATTTATTAAACTTTAAAAAAGTGTTCATTAGTCTTTTATTTTGCTAATCTCAGTAACAATCACTTAATCACTTTATTACGAAATCTTTAGAAAGAAAAAATATGTTAGTAATAATAGTAATTATGCCCGAATTAACGCTTAAAATTTTGTCAACTAGATTTTTAAAATACGATACAATTGAACACTTCTCTGCCTTAAGCATTACTTAATTTTTTATTTTTTTTTAAACAATTTTGTATACATTTCCTTTCATAATATTATATAAAATAATATGTATTTAAATAGTATGTATATTTAAATATAATTATATACATTTTTTATATAAATTTATATAAGAAATTATATATATACCTATATAACTTTAACTTAAGTAAAGTATCATTACCGAATATGAACAAAGTGTTTAAGTATATGTGAGACTTGTGGACTTATAAACCAAATGCAAAATCCAAAAGTTGCATATAACAGTTCGTAAATATTTTTGAAATGCTTTTTATAACTGTTATACGAAATTTGAAATTTAAATGTCTAAATTACCATAACCATTGCGATAAGTCTCCTCGAAATACAGAATATTGTACAAACTTAAATGATATACTTATAGTTGAAAAATGATTCTGTTAATAAATAAATAATAAGTCTAAATGTATATACAATAATTTACATATGTAAAAAAAATTATATATTGAATAAAAATGAGTAACGGCAAGAAATATTTAACTTAAAGCATGAGAACAATTTATTTGAAAAATAAATTTATTCTTTTGCTGCAGTTCTCTTACCACCAGTAAGTAAATTAGAAAGCAAGATATAAGCTCCTTACTACGAATCTTATGAAATTTGGCCATAAACCAAAATTGAAAATAAATTAAATAAGCTATAACAGAAAACACTTTAAATAGCAAACAGGTAGTAATATAACAAAACTTCATAAGCCGAATAATGTCAATAAATAATAAGTAAGGTTATAACAGTTATAATTCAGTTATGGTATAAGATTTGAAATAGTTAATAAAAATAAACTCCATTCAGAAATACATACTTTGAAGCAAACAATAGTACATATATTTTCTTTTTTAACATATTAATTATGTATTATAAAATTACTCTAACTTTTTTACTTTTAACGCA